AGAGTGTATTTCCTTATTCGAAGTGAAATTTGTAGTCCAGGAAAGATCTCAGTTAAACAGATGAATTTTCATAAGCAGGAACTGCTTTGCATATACACTCAAACTAGAATATTTAGTGATGTTTTTATTACAGTGAAAGTAATTGATAAAGCTCCAATGGAAGTGTTTATTCCATTAGAAAAATCTCAGATGCACAACATATGCTTGCTTTTAAGTGTGGTTATATAGGTGAATTAGATCCAACTTGTAAATTTCTGGGCTGAGCTTGTGCACAAATAAATTTTTTTTAAACTGCAAGTAAGCAGACATAATACGTTTTCGTATTGACGTCGTAAGTACAATCATGTATAAATACATAATGGTATTTCTTGCAAGATAGGATTCATTTCATAATAGCATTTGTGAAAAGGCTAATTGTTAGAGCGTGTAAGAGTGCTGGGATTGAAACAAGTCTAACTGGTGACTCTTATCAGTAGAGAGATTTAATTTGGAAACCACTGAGGCGGAGTTGTACAGAGTCACCTCAGTACTTTGCAGTTCTTGTTTAAGGATGATTTTGATAAGGAATCACTGTTAGGTTTTGCTCTCTTAAGAGTATAGTCTGTAACCGTGTATCTTTATTTCGTAAGTGTTTGTCTCCCTCTGGTGTTTGTTTTTCCACTACAGCTGTACTTCTACACCAGAAACTGATTCCAAAAAACAGTGTGAGATAAATCGCTTTGAAGCTGAAGTGTTACATTTTGTTAAACAGTATAGTAAATTGAAAATAGCTTTTATGAGCTGAAAAAATCACAGTTTATATTAGCAGATTGGCAAGGAGAGAGAGTTCTTAAATAGACAAGAGTCCTGTTTTCTTTATTTACCTTCTCTCTACAAACCCATAAAACACTTCAGCTTACTGGTGCATATCATTATTAATGAAACCAAGCGTGACTTGGAAATGTGTGTTGACTTAATCTCTCTTTCTTTTGGCAGGTACCTATTATTAAACTGACAGATTCCTTCACTGAAGTAAAAGTTGACATCAGCTTTAATGTGCAAAATGGGGTTAAAGCAGCCCAGCTCATCAAAGATTTTATCAAGGTTAGGCAAGATTTTAATAGAATTAGAGAGTTGAATATTTGTCTTAATTAGATTCTCTGTTTTACTTAGACTGCATCCTCGCTACCGATACACATTCACTCTGCTCTGTTATTTTTTGCCATACTATTTTATGAAGTTCTTGGGTTTTAGATATGTTGCCCTAAGGAGCACGAAGACAGTAAAATACATGGCGAGGGTACGTGCAGAGAAGATCAATGATACAATAACAATGGAAAAAATGCACTAACATCAGTCTTGAATGTTATGCTCTTATAGCTGAGGTTCCTTGAACCTAAAGTTAGTAATACCATACACTGGTACAAAAAGTAGGAATAATCTTGTTCTAGTTTGAATACTGTTTCAGCATACAAATGCCAATTAACTAAACTAAGTTAGATTTAGTAATATGTTGCCCAGAGAGCCACCCATAGGTGTAGCATAGAGGCTATTGTAGCTATTTGTTTCATACATAGGCTCATTTTGGTAGGATTAATGTGTTTTTGTATTTAAAGTTTTGAAGCATCTTTATACTCTCTTCCTTGCCTTCCCCCATTCAGTGCATTGGGCGTATATGGTAAATGTCTTATAAAGCCAAAAGAAAGTTTTACTTGGATCTGCACGTTCTGTGTTGATACATGAAGTGCAGTTCAGTCTCATTTAAGTGTTTGGGTATTACTTCTCTGCTTTATTTTGTTTTTTGAACCAAACTAATACAGAGCGGGAGAGTCAAAAGTATTTCTGTAGTTAGACAAGTAAAACTCCTTCAGCAGACTCCATAAATCTCTTGAGTAAAGCAAGCACTTTCACTCGTAAGGCCTAGAAGTAAGGTACGTCTGCTTTGGTAATGTTAATGTATTGCAAGTTATCCTCAACATTATTTGGGAGTTTCAGTTGCTGATGAGCTGGATGTATAGCTTTCAGCTTCTTAATCCACAGTTCCTTTATATAGGCCTAATAGCAAGTATGGAAGTAGCTCACTCTGCTTCTACAGTGTCTATTCCTTTAATCCTTAGAACAGAGAGGGGGGGGAAAAAAAATCTTTGCACTGAAATTGTTCAGTTCCAGTAGGATTTTCTGAGTATTTGTCTTCACGGTCTCATCTGTGTGATTGTATAAGCCTTCTGCTTCGATTTGTGCTCGAGTAGCCTTCTCTAGCATCTGTGCTCCAGAGTAAAAGGGTGGAGGGGTCCAAAGACCTTTGTTTTTCTCAGCCTATATCTGAAAAACAGAATTCAGTTGTGTTGGCCAGTGGTCCTCTGTTAAATCAAGACAAGTGTTAGTTCTGCACTAGTTAGCTCACTATCGGAGAAGGAAGATGCCACGGTTCTTTGTCGCAAGACACCTACTTGAAATGTCATAGTTAAATTCAGCGTGCACGTCCAGCGTGTTGGGGCAGCACCGTGATGGGCCGTCAGGCCATATTTGTGTTTCTGTTGTACTGTGTTTATAAACTTATTTCTAAGGATGTCCGTAAAGCCCAACGTGCTCGCCCAAAACTGTCTCTGGGCTTTTTAATTTCAAGGTAGGAAATGGTCCTCTCTTTTGAGAGTCTGAACCAAAGAAGCATTGTGTATGTTACTCAGACTTTTTAACCCTTTGGACAGGCTGTTTTGACTTTGGGCCAGGGAGGAGCAAGGGTGGGCTGCACTGCGTGGGGCGGTGAGCCACACGCAACAGCAGGGCAGGCGAGGGGCAGCGTCCTGGCCGCCAAAGGGTGCCGTCCCACGGTGCCCGGGCAAGAAGAGCAGAGCAGAGCAGGTCTGGTGAGAGCAGTTGAGGCCGGCGGCTGGCAGCCAGGCGTGGCGCGAGGAGGGCAAGGCTCAGCGGGCCAGCGTCTGCCTCGGCAGGGTACGTGGCAGCACGCAGGCAGGGCCGTGTTGTAGCACAGGCCACAGGTGAGATGAAAAGCAGCTCCCATGCAGTGTGAGGAGGCCCTGGTGAGGCTCCTCATGTGGCAGCTATTTTTCATGCAGCTGTTTTCCCGGCAGCCCAGGCCAAGGCCACGCAGGTGGGCCACATCAGAGCCAGCCTTGGGTACAGGCGGCGGAAGTGGTGCGTGGCAGGGAAGAGGCTGCGCTCAGCACTGACATGGCGCGGCGAATGGATACCCTATTATGGAAGGTAATTTATTTAACTTGGAGGAAATTTGACATAATACTTGTCAAGTGACTTCCTTGGTATGCCTGGGAATGTCTCTGTATAAAACATGTACAGGGCGTTCTCTTAGGCCTTGTTTTGTCCCGCTTAACTTTAAATACCAAACAGAGATGTCTTGTTCAGCATTACCTTTAGAAAGGTTTATTTCTCTTCATCTGATTATTCAGGAAGTCTGAGGCAGCTGAAGCCTTAATTAAGGGTTTACAGACACCTGAGGAGAATCCTGTCTCCAGATTTTGGTATATTCTTATATTCAGCCTTTTAAGTTCTGACTAGAAGGTCTCAACAGTTTAAAAAGGTAATCTTGGGATCTTTGGGTAAGTAGGGCTTCTGCCAGCTACCTTCTACTTGCTGTAGGACTCGGCTAAGTTCTTGGAGAAATTCTTCTTCTCCCTTTGATCTTTTGTAATCGTGGGGGCTATGATTCACATCTCCTCTCCCATGCTGCAGAACTTCTTTAGCTCTGTGTTGATTAAAGGAGTGATGTTGCTGGGCCTCCTGCCGCCCCCCTCCTGTGAGGAGGGGGTGCAGAGGCAGGCGTAGCCCCGGCACCCACTGCTGTCAAAACATTTCCCGTTCTCTGCCTGTGCGGGCCTACGCACACCTCTTGGGGGAGCCCAGGGGGACAAACGTATTGAAGGAGCAGATAGCGTGCGGTAAGTAGTGGCTCTTCGGAAAGTATTTTCTGGGCGTAGTCGTTTGGAAGGACAGACCTGAACGCTAGACACCTCAGGTACGATTACTTGCAGGAAAATGTCTCAGTGCGTTTTGGGATATCACCTTGGTTGTAGCAGGAAGTTTTTTTAATAGTCTTGGGTATCTGCATAGTTTTCCCTTCATTTTTACTGTATGAGAACAGCAAACATATTTATGTATTCATATGAAATCACCTTCGTTTTAGGAACTGAATTGGTAACTTTTTCCATTGTTAATACCTGTCACCACAGTTGAAGAGGTCTTGATCACTGGCAAAGCACTTTGCTTCTCCTCTGTTATTAAAAATAATAAGTTAGAATTATACTTAGTTTTGAGACTTGCTGACAGCCGGCTTCAGTATGATTTTTAGCATCAGTTGTGTATATTCACCACAGTATCCTAACACCTCCCTTTTTTTTTTTTTCTTTTTCAGAAATATCCTGTATTACCATATCTAGTTTTAGTATTGAAACAGTTCCTGTTGCAGAGGGACCTTAATGAAGTGTTCACAGGTGGAATTGGTTCTTATAGTCTTTTTTTAATGGCTGTCAGTTTCCTTCAGGTAAGCTAAATGAAATTTATTGATGTCATTGATGGTGAAGACCACTATATTAAGAGTGAATTTAAATTTAACCAATTTAAATCAATCTTTAAATTTATTTTATCCTGTTTGTGGTTTTTCACCCTCTTTTCATTAAAACACACCCACACCCACACCCTGTCTGTTCTCTATTCTTTCTCCCATTTTTTGGTACTAAGCGAGTTGTTGTGAACATCACTTGGTTTGTCAGATCAGGTATATGCGTCGTTGCTGATAAAATAGCTCAACTATTGTGTAATTTCATTAGAACAAGGTGCATAGGTTAGTGTTAGATGCAGCTGTCCCCTATAATGCTTGTTTTTCCAGGTCATACATACTGTATGTGCTTTAATGAGTGTGGTAGAATTGTGGTTGGTTAGGTGTTTAAGCTAATGTCAAATAAACATTGTATGTAAATCTAAGAGAATAAAATGCATGGGGTAAATCTGTATTGTGTTGGGGGGATTACAAAAATGTGAAATAGTTGATCATTTTCTGGCTTTATGAACACTTTTTCTTGTACTAAATTTCATTGCGTAACTGTGTGTATGAATGTACCTACTTTTCTAATATATAGTATTTTCAAGTTGAAGCTCTGAAGTGGAGCTCAATGTATGCTGAGTGCTATTTCATTTGACTGCTGAGTTAAAAAACAAACAAATACAGCGCACGCATCTTTTTGTAAGAAAATCTCCCAACTCAGTTTTTTTCTTATTGTGACTAATGGTATTTTCATTTGCAAAAACTAATCTCATATCCAGGCAAGTCTTATATCAACTACAGACCAGTTTATCCTCTCTCAGGCTGCATAGTTAACGGTAGAGGGGATCCTTTAGATAGTTGCATATGTTAAAATCCTGTTTTTATTACAAACCCAGGTTTGTGAAGTTCAAATTGATTCTCATCTTTGCTTTTTTATGCAAACCCTGTGATTAGCACTGGAAGTTCACTAACTCATCTTAAAGTTCTAAATATGAAAATATTGATACTTGCCTGCCATATTGTTAGAAGACAATTGGTTTTTAAAAGTTCTGCATCATTAAAAGAAGGCACTATCAGAACTGTTTTATTAAGGAAAATTACTATTTTAGATGTGTTAGCTGTGAAATAGCAAAGAATATAAAAATAAACAGAAAAGGATTTAGAGGCACTTGAAATTTGGAGTCTTGCGAAAATGATTTCTTTTTTTCTTTTCCCCCCCCTCCTCTTAATAGCTGCATCCCAGGGAAGATGCCTGCATGCCCAATGCCAACTACGGTGTTCTTTTAATAGAGTTTTTTGAATTGTATGGACGTCACTTCAATTATTTGAAGACTGGAATCCGAATAAAGGATGGTGGCTCTTATGTTGCCAAGGATGAAGTACAAAAAAGCATGCTGGATGGCTACAGACCATCAATGCTGTATATCGAGGATCCGTTACAGCCAGGTATCCCCATGAGCCAAGGTTTAACATACCGACTAAGTAAAAAGTTATAGAAATGCATAGTCCAAAGGAGTTAAACCACAGAATAACTTAGAATGAACCCCCCCAAACAAAACAGAAACACCTCATTACTCTATATGAGCACAACACGCTCTCCGAAGGAAATGCCTTCCTTTGAGATGCGTTCCTAGCAGCAGTTACGATGCCATCCGAGCGCGTGCCTGTACCGCAGTCAGGAGGCGGGATGTGGGAAGGCATACTGAAAACTTCAGTGTCTACTCTGAGAACAGCAATAAGGATGCAGTAGAATGGGCTCGATGTACGTGTATATACGCGTGATCCCTTTCACAGTTTTGCCTGCCTGCATCACCTTTGCACCTTATGATACATGTGTACTCTAATGCCTGCTGTCCTGCTTAATTTTTTAAGGTCACATAAATGATTTCATTCTATATTACTGCATTTATGTTCTGTTAAGGTTGAATATTGAAATAAGTGGATGGCTTCTAAAATGGTGCATAACAGTGCTGTTCTTGGGGGAAAAAAAGAGTTAACTGATAACATTTCTGATGTGAAAATGTCATCCAGAATAGTAGTTTTATTTGCAATATACACAGTACATGCTTTTTTTCTTCATATATTGCACTTTTACCTGGAGAATTACTGTCTTGGACTTCTGTACGTGTAAATATCGTTAGGTCTTCTAAGCTCTTTCATATAGTTATGCTTCATTAATCTTTTTGTATCCTACAAGACATGACTGTAGTGATTTGGGATTTAAGAGCAATTAAAAAATATATATATATATGTAACTATCCCCTGTCTGAAAGTAACCATGGTTTCAGTTGTATATGTCTGACTGTATTCTTATTTTAAGGTAATGATGTTGGGAGGAGTTCATACGGTGCCATGCAAGTGAAGCAGGCTTTTGATTATGCCTACGTTGTTTTGAGCCACGCAGTTTCCCCAATAGCTAAATATTATCCTAACAACGAAACTGAAAGGTAAACTTTATAAGTCTAAATTCAGACATTCATTGCGCATATTTGTGTGTACTTAAAGCTAATTTTTGTTTGTTTTGGTTTACAGTATATTAGGTAGAATAATTAGAGTGACACAAGAAGTGGCCACATACAGAGACTGGATATCAAAGCAGTGGGGAATGCAAAGTAGGACTGAGTCTTCGTGTAATGGTAAGATTTGACTAAGCATGGCAGCACAATGGGAAACTTTGTGCATATTTGAACTATGTAGTTTTTTTTTTTTTTTACTTTAGTTGCTTTTGACCCACATAAGTCAGTGCATGCATTTTAATATGTATTAACTTTACCTTTTTTGTTAATTGATGAAGTGATGTACTTTTTCTTATGGGTCTTCATCCAGAACAATTTAGAGTCGTACAAGAACGAAAAGACTGTACCACAGCATCTTTATTTTACTGTGATAGATTTGCTCAGCGTACGGGTCTTTAAAGGAGTTCTAGCTTACGATAGGAAGCTTTTAAAAAACTTTTGAGTTAGGTTACACACACAGTTACTGTCACTCTTCTTTTGCCCTTAAATTGTGGACAAAGTTTTAAAAAAAAAAATTAATAGGGATAACAATTGAAAACTAGATCCTACCCCTTCACTGGTCTTTTATTCTTCATTTTTAAGTTAACCGTGTTTTCTGTCTAGGGAAACGATATTTAAAACACGTTTCTTCTGACCCCACTAGCCAGTTGCCACCCTGTTTTGTGCAGGTGTATGTGCTGTCTGGAAGTTATCAATTAATTTTATACTCTTACCAGAGATTAATCAGAGAAGGTGATATGGTGATGCCCGCTGTTTATGCTAGGCTGGGTGTTTGCCTGTTTGTTTTTAAAGCACTTAGCAAGTAAGTCGCTTTCCACGCGCTCCCAGTAAATGGGATGTGCTTGTGGACTATTTTTGTTTTATTAACCTGTGGACTTTTGTGGTGGCCACCTGGTAATGGCAGTCAGCCGCAGTTCAGTCCTGCAAGCGGCCCAGTAATACTTAGCTGCCTGATACAATGTATGTATTAAACTCTGTATACAAATGTAGCTAATGGGGTACCTAATATATATGATATAAATTTATCAGAAAGCCAGTTCACTACAAATTAGTCACGCCTTCTATAGCTGATCTTGCTTGATGTTTGCTTTCTAATATGTCCAAAAAAAGTACAGTCTTTTACATGGGTACCAGTTTCTGGGTAAAAAAAAGGAGAGTTAACTCCTAGATGTTAGATGTCTTGTGAGATAGAACAGGGTTATAAAAATAACCATATTAGAAATGTAATGGTAATAGTTACAGCAGTCACCTTCCAGATGTAGTTTAGATTTAAATTCTGATTCTTTTTATTACTTTTATTTTCTTAAGGTAACAGTCCCTGAGATATAAAAGTTCTGTATCTAGTGTTTTCAGTTTAGGGCGTCATGCAAAGTAACCAGACTATCTGGGGTTCTTGTGACCCCAGCAGCTCCAGCAGAACACTGGGAGCTGTTGAACACTGAACACATAGCAACGGTATTGAAACCTACATAGTTGAGTGCTGTTGAAGCATGTCATGAAACAGTCTTACACAGCACGTCTCAGCAATGTTACTGCTTTTCTCCATGCCTTCGCTCTTTAACTTCCATCTTGAACTTTGTGTAATGCAGGGTAATTTTCAGTGTACGAGGGACCCTGCTGTGAAAAGACCATCCCCTCTCCAACGTACTGGCTGCAGGCGATACAAACACATGCACTTGCGTGTGTTCATGTATTAAAAAGTATATATGTGCACAGATGCCTGTACATGTGATGCTGGGTGTAACAGATGTATAATATCTGACTGTATATATAAGTATGCAACATTTTGGCAGTCCACGTGGTGATGCTTCTGTTTTGGTTTTGATAGGTAATGGAGTAACCTTGATAGTAGATACTCAGCAGCTAGACAAATGCAACAATAATCTCTCTGAAGAGAATGAAGCACTGGGAAAACCTAGAAATAAAACTTCTGAAACACTTAGTAAACATTCTTCAAATTCTTCATCAGGTCCCTTATCATCATCATCTTCTACATTGTCCAGCTCTAGCGATGTAGTAAGTATTGGACTCTTTTGTTGTTCTGTTTTTTTCTTACATGTATTGGCATGGATCACATTTGGAAAGCTCAGAATTCTAGTGTGGTTTTTGTTTTGTTTTTTTATCCAGAGTCCAAACTTGCATAAGATGTTACCTCTTATGCAATTTTCTATGTAAACTGCAATGTGGTTTTTGACACAAAACACATGTAGAAAGTGAGTACAGTAGATACAAACTTGCTTAGCCCTCTCTCCTCTGGGAAAACTGTATTTCAAAAGACTGGTAGCTCTAAGCCATATACATTAAAAAAAAAAAAAAGTCTAAACATTTGTTAGAATGGAAATTCTATTTCAAAATGAACAAATAAAGGACAAATCTCAAAACTGGAACATGCATCAATACTTTTTTTTATTTGGAAAGAATTCTAGATTAAAACAGCTTTAATATCTAATAAAATAAACACATTTTACATTTTTTCTATTGCTGGGTCTCTTTTTAAGTAAAGTTCACTTATTCTTAAGAGGAAAAAAAAAATCACTAATACTTTAAATTTTCCTGAAGGATTCTGATGGAACACCTTGCAAAACCTCTAAACAATTGAGTTGTCGTCAGTCTACCACAAACAGAGTGGGGTCACAAGAAGTATCACTGGAATCCTCCCAGTCAAGTGGGAAAACGCAAAATAGCCAAACAGCCAATACATCCAGCAACACGAACAAATCTCAGGTTTGTGAACTGTTTAAAAAAAAAAAAAAAGTGTAGATTTTTTTTTTGAATATTGTAAATGCCCTCCATGGAAGGAAGGGTAGCTTGTTCTAGGAGGAAAACACTATTTTTCTCCTCCCCTTTACTCCATCAGAACACTTTGAGCGTTGACTATATCTAAAATCATCTGGTTCTCTGTTTGGCTTACAGGGAAGTTTGTAACAGTTTGGTTTTCACAGCCTTTGGAACAAATAAAATTGGATTGACTTTTACTTGATATTTTGGGAAATCTAGGTTTGCCAGCAGCATACAGATGTGTTGTATAAATTTCCTTTATGCAAAAACCATGTCAGTCTGGTCTTTACTGCAAAATATACCAGAGCTAGTGAGGCTTACATACAGTTAGTGAAAAACGTTTAGCAAAAGTGTATAATAAAACTAGACTGGCTGCTATGTTAACTGTTGATCCTTGTTGAAATGCATTTTATTAAGGGAGATGGAGATGCATAAAATGCCCTCTCATTTTACCCCAACACAAATACCAGTGATGAGAACTACCAAACCGTATGCATTTAAGGGATTTCTCATGTTGAAGAATACTGCTATGACAACTCAGTAATCTGAAGAACTGTTATTTCAAAGCACCTTCAGATATATGCAGTTTAAATTTATACTTTTTCAGACTTTAGGACAGCTTTAATATATGAAAGATAGTCTGGAATCTTCTGGAGTATTATCCCTGCAAAATAGTTTCTGGAAAACTTGCTGCCTCCTACTTACGGACGATCTCTAGCTGGTATCGAGACAGTTTGCAAACCAGGCCTTACATATACCATTAATCTGTGTTTGTGTGCATTAAGCAGAGGTAGTTCTGTGCTAGAAGAGGTGCTGGAATGTGAATATGCACATTTGGAGATACTCTGCATCTTTAAAAAGATGTGGTGTAAAATTAGTCCTGGTCTTAGAGGAATGTTGACTAAATCTTGCACAGATGTGATTTGGGCAGCCTTAAACATCACCCCTCTTGGATTATGGGCTTCTGTTTCTGTGAAGCATTGTACATTTGTCACACTTTTTTGAAGCTTGCATTGTGGGTGATCTATCTTTTCCAAAATTCGAAGTGCTGTAGTTCTCTGTCACTTGACCTGCATGGTTTAGGAGCTAGAGGGAGCAGCCACAGAAGTGAAAGACTGCTGGTACTATGCTGCAGTCTAAGCAATGGCCTAGCTTCAAGCGTACCCCCTTCAGGAGTTAGCATCCTGCTTCTCGGCAGCACTGACTTACCATGTTCTCTTCCTTTTACAGCATGGATCAGCACGGTTATTTCGCTCTTCTAACAAAGGCTTTCAAGGTCCAACAAACTCAAGCCATGGTACCTCAGTCACAAACAAACAACATCAAGGCAGTAAATCACACCACCAGTACTTCCATGGCAAAAAGAGGAAACACAAGAGGGATGCGGCCCTTTCAGACCTTTGTAGATAGTTGCCTATTTTATGACTGTTCTTCTGTGTGCAATGATCTCATGCTACAGGATAGTTTGATAGTGACTCCTTGGATCTCTTCCGGAGCTTCAGACTGTTCAGACATTGATTAGCAACTGCATTTTTTTTTTCCCAGCTCGCCACGGAACGGATCATGAAGATTGATCACTGCAAAAAAAAAAAAAAAAAAAAAAAAAAGAAAAAAAAAAAAAAAAGAAAAAAGAAAAAAAAGAGGAAAAAGGCTGCTCATTTGATAAGTCATATGCTACAACAGGGTCATTTAGGATATAAAAGCTTGAATGTAAAATAAATGTATCTCCCATCAGCTCATGCTGACCTGTAGGGGTAGTACTCAGTGTGTCTAGGGGGTGGTAACAAACAAATAAAAAAAATAGGAAAAAAAGCAAAAAATTGTATTTTGAGGGAAACCCAGCCTTTAAAGGTGAAAGTAATTTGTGCATGATTTTTTTTATTATTTTTTGCATATACTTACCATTTTATTGTGTATATATAGATGACCATATAGGAAAACTGACATTTGTAATAGTGGATTTGTTAATACTTTTTACATAACATTACTGTTTAAATTGTAAACATAAATTTTTCTCAGGATTAGTTTGGAAAATAATCTGAATTGTCATCTTAACATCCATATAAAGAGACATTACTAGTTATATTGCTCAGAATTTCTTTTCTTGGCATTTAAAAGATTTAATAGAACATTGATCTGCAAAAGTCGTTCCTCTGAAGAAAAGGTTTATGGTGGCAAATGAAGCTTTTCATTTGTATAAAGTGTACATGTACTTTGTGTCGACACTGAGCTTGTCATCTCTGAGAAGCAACCTTCACCTTGTTTTCTAGAGTGCCATCATTTCAGATAATGGGGTTTTATAGTTGCACCCCTCTCTTCTTCCTCTTAATGGTGTCCTCCCCCCCTTTTTTTAATATAAGCCACTTGGGGGTTTTTTGTTTGGGTGGTGGTGATTTTTGTTTTGTTTTTTGTTTTGTTTTTTTTTTTCAGTTGAGAACAAACAGACAGAAGGACTCAGTTTGTTAAAAATGTTTGCATTCCTGGGCTGCTTTAATCCCATGCCTCTTTGTTTGTGCCTTCCCTCCCCCTTCCAGGTCTGGGTTTTTTTGTCTTTTATATTTTTGCTAACTCCTGTAGGAGGTGATAACTGTTGAAGCTTTAAGTAAATTTTACTATTAAAGTATTTTTTCTCACTCCCCTCTTAGGCATTTTTATATTTACACTTAATTATTAAAAAACCTTCAAATAATGAAATATATTTTGTATTGCCTTAAAGACCCAAACCTTTCATATCTCATAGTATTTTGTCATTGAACTAGTTATCATTAATTTAAACTCGGCATTTGTCTGGTTCAGTCACATGATAAGTCTAGGCCGCAGTAAATTTGATGCCATGAATGCAAATTAAACATGTAATTACACTCACAGGTATAGTTCGGAAAACGAGTTGGGACACTTCAGTGGTAGAATGTTAAGTGGCATTTACTTTCACACGTTTCTTTAAAGAGGAAAGAGTCTGTATTCAGCATACGGGGCTGTATTTAATGCAGCTGTTCTGGAGATGATGCTTTTATAAAAAGTACTGTTAGCTTTTAGAAACTTTTTTTATATACATTTACAGAATACTACAGACCAACCTGACCTTTAATGGGCACTAACGAGTGCAATGATTTTTAAAGTTAAATAATGCTAAAATAAGACCAGAACTGATGTCATCACTTAAATTAATAAACATTCTCAATGTGTTAAAGTGTTTTACTTCAAAAAGGAAAATACATATATTCAAAAAATATGGCAAGTCGTAACATTTACTCAAACACTAAGCGTAAGTGATGTTAATTTGACAATGTTTTTTTAAAAAAAATTTTAGATTCATGTTTTAATTTGATCAGATAATTTTATCAACCAGATGTTGAGCTTTTGTTCATAGAAATTAGTAAAAGTTGTACCACATTATGCATAATCACAGTATTTATTTTGTTTTAGATTATTGTGAATGTGTAGACTTATGTTCACCGCTTAGGGAACAATTATTTATAAATTATATTAATCCAGTATTGTTAGCTGCTATTAGCAAAACTGTTCCAAAACTTAATACTTGCAAAGATCTGTATCGCATTTACCACACTGAAGTGTTTTTAAAAGAATCACCCTCATCGTTGAAAGCAAATGTACTCTTAGGGTGCAGATATTAGTGTTCCAATAAGCATGTGATAATTTTAAGGTGGTGGTAGCGGGAAGATAATCTTGATTCCATTGGGAATCTTAGGTTTGCCTCAATTTATGGTTTTCATAAATTTAATGGAAAATAGCTTTTCCTGGACTGCTCAAGTTTCTTTTTGGTAAACAGTATCTTTCTAAAAGAAAAAAAAAAAAAAAGCATGAAGGAAAAATTGAGGTATTTTACGTTGCCTCAAATGACCAGCATTGTATTCATAAAATACTGTATATCTTGCAAATCTTTATTTAAACAGAACAGTTGAACTGTTCGTTTTTCAATCTGAAGTAAAATACTTTCAAGACCTTTTAGTTTGCCTGCTCATTTGTCTTGTACATTTCATCTCTGTATTTGACTCAAGTCTAATTCCTTTTTGAGTTTCAATACTTTTGTGAAGATTTTGTGAATATATGAAAAATAAATGTTTAATCTAACTCCTGCAGTTTATCAGCATTCTTGACACTTACCCTGTTTTTCTCTTCACAGTGGAAAGAACAGAATATTCAAACTGCTTTGTAACATTCTTCTTGTATCGCGATGCTTTTCTAGCTGATTGCCAGGCCCATCTACGTATGATTTTGAAGCTTATTTTGTTCAAGTAGGCCTGGTTTGGTGTGTGGTATTTTTCCTTCCTCTAAAGCAGACAGCAGAATCTGTATTTCTAGGAGTAAGTGGAAGAAATATACAGGTGTGAAGGTTTATAATGTATTATTTTTCTTTAACTTTCCTATACACGCAAAACTTTTGCAAGAACTTGCTAATTCTGTTCTCTGTTCCAAACTTCCATTTTGCTTAGTATTTCAGTTACAGTACAGCTATTGTTTGAAATTGGGGCTCTGAGGAGGACATTGTAGAAATATGCACTAAAAGAGTCTCTTCTGCAAAAGTTAATTTTAGCTGTCTTTAGCTGGATTCTTTGTTTACCATAGTTCATGAAGCATGGTTCATTTTACTAAAGTATATCCTTAACTTTGTTTATCTTCCTTCCCTACATAAATCGGTAGGGAGATGCATACATACTGAAAATTCCTACAGTCTTTCTCATGGTAGATTATCAGAATGATTTAAATAAACTGAAATTTTATAAATCTCCCTGTTGGACATTAGATTATGATTCATTGTTTTGCCTTTTTTACAGACAGTGAACAGATGATTCTGCTTACCCACCTCCATGTTCTATGCAGCTGCCTCAGAATTTACAACTCTAGTTTTTAAATTTTTATAATAAATCTGTTTTCCTAGAACATAATCTTTTAAAAAGAATTAGTATTCTAATAGCTGGGGGCAGCTTTTTTTTTGTATACTTTCAAAATGACCTTTTCCATGTGTACCAAATACAGTGCATGATCAGGTGATTAGAAACCAGTCTAATCTCGAAAATTTATTGTAAATAAAAGCAGCCAGCTATTTGACATCTTGATGGATGTTAAAAAACCATGATAGATGTTAAAACTCAATGTGTGACTTCAACTTTTATTTCCTGAAGAGAAAAAGCTATGGGAAATTGCAAAGTGTGCAATCATTCAGGAAGAGTGGATGTTTATCCATTTAGAGGCTGTAATAACAACAACAACATAAAAATGCATTTGACTATTCCAATGACCGTTAAACTGCAAAAAAACTGATTATTTATTCTGCTGATTCCTATAGCTTGATTTCCTTTGCTTAACAATGCAAAATAAGTTTTAAAAAATGAAGTTTCATCATGTCTTGAAAGTGCTTCTGGGTTGTAGAAGTGCAGAAATTGATAGTTTTATTTTCTAGTTAATTCATAGTGTTTCCACAAGATTGCAAATAGTTTCTCAAAAACATTTTCCAGTTGCAGTGACCTAAATGTTAGTGTCTGGACTATATTCCCATGAGTCACTTACCCGCAGTTCTGACAGATGCATACGGTTTCATCTGTAAGTTGAAACCAGCTTTGCCGTTCTAATGGCGCTTAAATATGTCACAACTGTAGATTTTTCTGTGGTTTCTCCATGTTCTAATTTGCTTTGAGCCTAATTAACTAATTTTCAGGGGCTTGTTGTAAGAATGTTGGATAGTTTCTCTGGGATTATCTCATACATTGAGAATCCTCTGCAAGTTGCTTAATGAACAATGTTCTGAGTTACAAAGGAATTAATATTCAAATGGCCTTATTGGGTCTTTCAGAGCTCAAAAGTGTGTGTCAAGCACATGAGAAAAGGACCAAAAGAGCCAGGAAGTGGCTTTTACCTATATGCTTTAGCATTGTAATTTTAGACTACTCTTTAGGTCACTTAATTTTGAACAGCTTTGATTTTAAGTCTGTTTTGTAGCGGTTTCGCACCACCACCGTTTTGTTGATTTTGCAGGCCCCACAAAAACTTCTAACTGAAGTGTAGTGCCTTTGTTAGACCTCTTGACCTCAGACTTGCTTAGAGTGCAGTTCCTTTCCCTTGGCAGTAGGTGGCCTGAAAAATTTCCTGTTCCCACTTCCTCATCCCTGTCCAAGTTCACCATTGGTTGTGCTGGTATAATTACGCACCTGGGAGGAAAAAAATGGAACTTGACTCTTTAGTTTGCTGTAAATGAGTCAAGAGAAGTTCATGGGATCCTGACCACTAAGTACACAAATAAGACAAACGGAAGAAATCTTGGAGATCCTCGGTATAAAAGCCATTTGGAGGAATGACATCTTTTTGTCTTCCAAGATATACGAACAATGAGATGCAGCAAGTCTTCTGGCAAGTCATTTTGTTTGGACTTTATTTCATTATCAGGTACTGAACGACTTGAGCCCTGACTCTGCTCATTGTCTCAGCTGAAGGTTCTACGTTCTGCAGCAGACTTACCTGTGAGGGTGTTTATCAACAACGAGCCTGAAATTGGTATGTCTTGGTTGTGCTGTCTGCTGCTAGGAGTCCTTCAGAAGATGCCTTCTTAACCTTCTACTGAGTTGAGTCTCGTAATCCTTTTTCTAACTCAGAGATCAACCTTCATTTTTGCAGCCCGCAGATTTAGTAGTCGATGTGGCATTTATCAAATCTTGTCCAAGAGGCTAAAGTGAAGCAGGAAGGGGGTGGAGTTTGATGGTGCTTTAAAGATAAATTTTCCTGCTGCTGTAATTCCTTTAAAAGCAACAAAACAAACAAACAAACAAATTAAATGCACAGCGTGAAGTATGAATGCGTCTCCCTAGCACCTATACATCCATCTGCAAAGCTAGTTTCTGCATGAATCATTCGGCAATCTCTAATCCTCAGATGCTAGGCTGATTTTAATGTTCATTCTGTATAATGAAGTCTTAATTTCATGTAAGACAGAACAGCTGAGGAAGAAACAGCTTGGCTATATGCAAGAGCCAGCTTGTAAAGAACGTGGCAGTGGAGGAAGTCTTGGTGCAGATTTGGGGAATGTTTGTCTCTGTAAAACAAACTCACGTATAGCTATATAAAACTTCTTTTGCTTATATATGAAACAGCGTTTGATTCTTGAGCTGAGAGATCTTTAAGCAATCAAATGCTTCTGATTTGCTGTATGTGAAAAGTAATCAGTGCTCAGTTGCATTTTTCCAGGTCTAAATTTGTTTTACTGTAACAGATTTGGTGATAGTGAGCATTCCGGTTAAACTGTTTATGCTGCTAGCAATTTAGCACCAGAAGGTCTTCTCTGAACTTAAAGCTCCCATCTTAGAAAACAAAATAAGTCCACATTGCTGGTCTGTATACAACAGATTGTTGCATCAAAATTAAAAAGAAGTACTTTTCTTACAAGAAAAAACATGAGGTAATTTAGGTGCATTGTGAGGTAATCGTTGCTGTTTGCATTTCTCTCCTACGTATAATGTAAGTCTTCACGTTCTCCCTCAGTTGCCTATTTCCAAACAAGACTGTTGTTCGTTCTTAGTTTATTAGGGTTTGGGCTTTTTTCCCCCCCTGCTCATGACAGTGGATCTTGATTCACGCTCATTTGTGATTGCCTGGTAATCAGTAGCTATGAAAAGACCATTCTCAGTCAGAAAAATCAATGGCTAATCCAATGGCAATTCGTATGTTCTTCCTTCAAGGCTAGCTTGTTTGTTTTTTCTTTTCAAAATCTTTAACAGTGCATGAGAAAAAGCTTATAAATTTTGTTATAAAGCAAAGAAATATTTTCTATGAGATTTTTATTTATCCAAAACTGCATCTTATTAAACCTATGCCACGGTATCAACTTCTATCTATCAAGGTAACACAATCTCAAGTATGCGGGGGGGGGGGGGGGGGGCGTGAAGTACTTTGGTGCAGTGTCTAAACACTCCCCAAATACGAAAGGATGTTTGAAGGCTTTTGTTTTATAAGGTTGTTTGTACAGAGATCACAACTAGCATCTTAAGGTAGTAGTAGCTTATCTGGTACTGCTGAGCTGCGCTCCTTACACATCTAAAATCCTGCAGAATCCCACTACTATAGTAGAGTACAAGTAGAGTATCATATAGTAGAAAATTTTGAATTTTGGTACTTTACAAAATGAAGTTAAAACAAAATTAGTTAAAACAAAAACAAGCTGGGGCGGGGGGGTAAGAGCAGCACCTGCTCCTAGAAGGAGGGGCAGTTGTGGGGTTCTGGTAACTGGCTGTCCCAGCATCTCCTCTATGACGATCTACTGAAAACAGAACAAACATCTTGGGCAAATAAAGATGCTGGGAACCTGAAAGCTGAAGCACTAACAGAAAAGGGAAGGGACACAGTCTTTGCAGTTACAGAAAGCGTTAGTCTGGTAACTTTACGCATGGATAGTCTGATTTAAAAATAACTAACTCTTCCAAAAGAGGGGCATTTTTGAAGTACAAAACAATAGAAAATTTTTGAAATAATGCTAGTTCTATAGTTTCTCTATGTACTTTTTTCCTAGTTATCAACACTTCGGCCTAAAAAACCGTCCATGAAAAGTATTATATTTGGGTTGTACATACTAATTATTATATTTGTATCTTTGGGAGAGTCTGTGTGTTCCAGTGCTGCCTATAAAAGAAAAACTACAACTATCAGTCTTGATGAGCTGGTACAATACTAAAAGGGCATAAATTAGAATTTGCTTATTTTTCTGACCTCATTATTAGGAAGTTAGCTTTAATTTCTTGTTTCATGTCCTCATATCTCTATTTTATCTGCTTTATTTACATCTGGTCTTTATAGGAAATCACAACTGTCCTATA